GCAGCAGATTGTCTTGACCATGTCTACATGCCTTAATGCATTTAGGTGCTGCCATGGGACTGGTTGACTAGATATCTGCATTAACTAGCAGTTGGACAGGCGTACCTAATGAAGTGGCCGGTGAGTGTAATATTCTGTAAAGCTCCAAACTATTGGGTTAAAAAATGATAAGGAAATCCGATAACAATGGCAAAAGACATAATGCAATGATAAACACAGTAAAAAGACACAACATGCAAGTTGTCCTCACAATGTTAGTATTTAGAGCTCACAGATCACATGTGCAATCAGACACTGGACAGAAGGAGGACGTTTTTGGACGGCTGAAAGAGAGAGAGAGGGAGAGAGAGAGTCAAAAAAGGAAACTACAGCCAAGCACATTCCCAACACAGCCGTCTGAATGAAGAAATGAGCGAGGAAGGAATATAGCCTGAGATCAAGAATTGCCTGCTTTCTTTAGATGAAAGCTGTGGACTACAGAAACTAGGGGAAGAAAACAGCCTCCCCTGACCCTCTGAATACATCACTGTTGTTTTTGAGCGTGTTTCTGAACCGGCTCCAGCATGTGGGCTCTGGTCACGGAGCTGTTCTTCAGCTTTATTCTGCTCGCCTTTATGGTGATCAGCTGCCAGAATGTTCTGCATATCGCCAGCAGCTCAGTGCGCTCTGTGCTGGCCTACATACACACTCAGCTGGACCGAGAGCTGGGCGAGAATGAAGGAGTGGCAGACGAGGAGGAAAACGTCACCACTCGGGTCGTGCGCCGCAGGGTTATACTGAAGGTACTGACCACCGCGGGCAGGAGTTAGAGATTTACTCTGTGTATTTCTTGAAAGATTCTATCATTAAAGAGTAACTGTGGTGGAATGTGTAAGGCTGTTAATCTAAGGCTTTACTGTGAGACTCAGATGGTTGGGTCAAGTTTCATCTGACCTCGTTTGAGTTCAACAGATGCCAGCAGCCTGTAAGAACTGTAGTTTACTGTACTGTAGTGGACTATACTGTAGTTTACTGTACTGAACTGTAGTTTACTGTACTGTAGTGGACTATACTGTAGTTTAATTAACTGTAGTTTACTTTACTGTAGTGGACTATACTGTAGTTTACTGTACTGAACTGTAGTTTACTGTACTGTAGTGGACTATACTGTAGTTTAATTAACTGTAGTTTACTTTACTGTAGTGGACTATACTGTAGTTTACTGTACTGAACTGTAGTTTACTGTACTGTAGTGGACTATACTGTAGTTTGCTGTACTGTAGTGAACTATACTGTAGTTTACTGTGCTGTAGTGAACTGTAGTTTACTGTACTGCAGTGGACTATACTGTAGATTACATTACTGTAGTGGAATATACTGTAGTTTACTGTACTGAACTGTAGTTTAGTGTACTGTAGTTTACTGTTCTGTAGTGGACTATACTGTAGTTTACTGTTCTGTAGTGGACTATACTGTAGTTTACATTTCTGTAGTGGACTATACTGTAGTTTACTGTACTGAACTGTAGTTTAGTGTACTGTAGTTTACTGTTCTGTAGTGGACTATACTGTAGTTTACATTACTGTAGTGGACTATACTGTAGTTTACTGTACTGTAGTGAACTGTAGTTTACTTTACTGTAGTTAACAAGTTTACTGTACTGTAGTGGACTATACTGTAGTTTATTGTACTGTAGTGGACTATACTGTAGTTTATTTACATAACTGTAGTTTACTGTACTGTAGTGAACTGTAGTTTACTTTACTGTAGTTAACTAGTTTACTGTACTGTAGTGGACTATACTGTAGTTTATTGTACTGTAGTGGACTATACTGTAGTTTATTTACATAACTGTAGTTCACTGTACTGTAGTAGACTATACTGTAGTTTACTGTACTTCAGTAGACTATACTGTAGTTTACTGTAATGTAGTGCACTGTAGTTTACTGTACTGTAGTAGACTATACTGTAGTTTATTTACTGAACTGTAGTTTACTGTACTTCAGTAGACTATACTGTAGTTTACTGTAATGTAGTGCACTGTAGTTTACTGTACTGTAGCGAACTAGTTTACTGTACTGTAGTAGACTATACTGTAGTTTATTTACTGAACTGTAGTTTAATGTACTGTAGTAGGCTATACTGTAGTTTACTGTACTCTAGTTTACTGTACTGAAGTTTACGTTCCTGTAGTAGACTATACTGTAGTTTATTTACTGAACTGTAGTTTACTGTACTGAACTGTAGTTTAGTGGACTGTAGTGAACTTTTTTGTAGTGGACTATACTGTAGTTTACTGTACTAAACTAGTTTACAGTACTGTAGTGAACTAGTTTACTGTATTGTAGTGGACTATACTGTAGTTTACTGTACTGTAGTGGACTATACTGTAGTTTACTGAACTGTAGTGAACTGTAGTTTACTGTACTGTAGTGGACTATACTGTAGTTTACTGAACTGTAGTGAACTGTAGTTTACTGTACTGTAGTGGACTATACTGTAGTTTACTTTACTGAACTGTAGTTTACTGTACAGTAGTGGACTATACTGTAGTTCACTGAACTGTAGTTTCTTGTACTGTAGTGGACTATACTGTAGTTTACTGAACTGTAGTTACTTGTACTGTAGTGGACTATACTGTAGTTTACTTTACTGAACTGTAGTTTACTGTACAGTAGTGGACTATACTGTAGTTCACTGAACTGTAGTTTCTTGTACTGTAGTGGACTATAGTGTAGTTTACTGAACTGTAGTTACTTGTACTGTAGTGGACTATACTGTAGTTTACTTTACTGAACTGTAGTTTACTGTACTGTAGTCGACTATACTGTAGTTTACTGTACTGTAGTGGACTATACTGTAGTTTACTGTACTGTAGTGGACTATACTGTAGTTTACTGTACTGGACTATACTGTAGTTTAATGAACTGTAGTTTACTGTAGTGTTCTAGTAAATATAAAGGACGCTAAAAAATAATAACAGATTTTTGTATCATTTGACATTTTCTTGTGCATTTAATCATTATTTAAGTTATTTATAAAGATTATAAGTTTACATTTGAATCATTTTAACTTTGCATCAGCATTTGACCTCTATGTTTCATCAATCCACATAACCAGCTGTAAACTATGGTAAACAGTGATGTATTTTACTCATGATTAATGCACAGGCTTCTTGATGTAGCCTTTGCTTTTCATGGGTGATCTGTCAGTGTTTCATTTAAAAATGCGTGTAAACTGCAAGCATTTTTACTCCGAATTCCATCAAAATAAAATGATATGGTACACATTAATGCAATCACATTAATGTTCCCTGAGAAGAGCTCAAGATCATTTTTTTTCAAAGGGTGTCTATGGGATTAGATTTGTGACACACTTCTGTGCGTAAAAGATCATGTTATGAACACACAAAACGCCTTGTTGCACACGCGCTAACAATTCTGTGCACACAAGATCATGTATTGAGCACACAAAATGGTTTGTTGCACATGCATTAACATATCTGTGCACAAAAAATCATGTTTTGAGCACACAACATGGCTTGTTGCAGACATGCTAACAATTCTGTGCGCAAAAGATCATGCATTGAGCACACAAAATGGCTTTTTTTTGCACTTGCTAACAATTCTGTCTGCAAAAGGTCATGTTTTAAGCACACAAAATGGCTTTTTTTTGCACTCGCTAACAATTCTGTCTGCAAAAGGTCATGTTTTAAGCACACAAAATGGCTTTTTTGCACTCGCTAGCAATTTTGTGCATAAAAGATCATGTTTTAAGCTCACAAAATGGCTTTTTTTGCACTAGCTAATAATTCTGTCTGCAAAAGGTCACGTTTTAAGCCCACAAAATGGCTTTTTTTGCACTCGCTAGCAATTTTGTGCATAAAAGATCATGTTTTAAGCTCACAAAATGGCTTTTTTTGCACTCGCTAGCAATTTTGTGCATAAAAGATCATGTTTTAAGCTCACAAAATGGCTTTTTTTGCACACGCTAACAATTCTGTCTGCAAAAGATCATGTTTTAAGCTCACAAAATGGCTTTTTTTTGCACTCGCTAGCAATTTTGTGCATAAAAGATCATGTTTTAAGCTCACGAAATGGCTTTTTTCTCACCCGCTAATAATTCTGTCTGCAAAAGATCATGTTTTGAGCACACAAAATGGCTTGTTGCCTACATGCTAACAATTGTGCGCACAAAAGATCATGTTTTTAGCTCAAAATGGCTTGTTGCCTTGCTTAAAATCCAGCTTAAACCAGCCTAGGATGGTTGGCAGGTTTTAGCTGGTGGACCAGCCAGGTTTTAGAGAGGTTTTGGCCACTTCCAGGCTGGTTTCCAGCCATTTCCAGCCTGGTCTTAGCTGGTCAGGCTGGAACGTGACCAGCTAAAACCATCTAAAACCAGCTTGACCATCCTGGTTTAAGCTGGACATAGTTGGGTCTGGATGGGCTTCCAGCCTGGATAGGCTGGTCAAGCTGGTTTTAGCTGGTCATCTCCAAGCCTGTCCAGCTAAAACCAGGCTGTAAATGGCTAGAAACTAGCCTGGAAGTGGCCAAAACCCCTCTTAAACCAGCCTGGTCAACCAGCTAATACCAGCCAACCATCCTAGGCTGGTTTAAGCTGGATTTTTTAGCAGGGTGCGCACATGCTAACAGTTGTGTGCACAAAAGATCATGTTTCGAGCACACAAAATGGCTTGTTGCACACGCGCTAACAATTCTGTGCGGTAAAGATCATGTTTTGGTCTTGCAAAACGGCTTGTTGTGTGCATGCTAACAATTCTGTGCACAAAAAACGTTTTGATCTCTCAGAATGGCTTTTTGCACACGCAGTAACAATCAACACTTGCAAAAAGGCTTGGTGGACGCACAATTCTTAATGCGCATGCTCAAAACACAATCTTTTCAGCACAGAAATGTGTCACAAATCTAACCCCATTGACATCTGTGTGGAATCGAAGAGCGAGAGAAGCGCACATATGGGCCATATCACATTTTAAGTTGCTTTTGTCATATCTCACCCAGGGTGATGAGGCTGAGGATCTTCCAGGAGAGCAAGTGAGCGAGGAGCAATTCACAGACGAGCATGGCAACATCGTCACCAAAAAGGTCAGCAATCCCATCCTGCTTTTGATTTTTTGGCCTGAAGCGAAGTCATTCATTTCAAATCCATCTCCATAATCATGAAAATTATTTACATTTTGTGCTGTGTTAAAGGTTTGCTGGGTTTGGGTTTGTTTTTCTGTTTTAAATCCTAATGCACTGCCGAAAACCCTGAAATGCATCCTGTGCTGAAAATCCTTTATAAATAACTTCATTTATCAACTTCTATAAAGCAACATCTTATATATCGCTTTCGAAGAGAACACCATAACACACACTTAAAAAAAAAATGTATTGATAGAATAGCAAATGTTTTTTACATCACTTTAACTGTAACTTATATTTTGAAGTTAATTTGGTTCCAACAGAAAAAAAATATTATTTATGCAAAGTTTAGCTAATATTGTAGTCAGTTTGATTGATGTAAGTTGAAATGACTAGAAAAGTTCATTTCATTTAACTAAAATAATTTTTAGCAAGCAAGATGTCTTTTTTACAGTGTGCCATCAAGTAAATGACAGAAGAGGGAGAAGAAAGAAAGAGAAGTTATAAAAACGGAAGGGAATGATTTTGAGAATATAATAACTAAAAACTTAGTTTTTTTAATTTAAGGTTTACATTGCAAATCTAATTACAGGTGATGTCATTCCGTTGAAGTCAAAATTATTAGCCCCCCTGTTAATATTTCCCCCAATTTTTGTTTAACGGAGAGTAGATTTTTTTTCAACACATTTCTAAACATAATAGTTTTAATAACTCATCTCTAATAAGTGATTTATTTTATTTTTGCCATGATGACAGTGAATAATATTTGACTAGATATTTTAAGACACTTTTATACAGCTTAAAGTGATATTTAAAGGCTTAACTAGGTTAATTAGGTTAACTAATCAGGTTTGGGTAATTAGGCAAGTTATTGTATAATGTTGGTTTGTTCTGTAGACTATCAATAGAAATATAGCTTAAAGGGGCTAATAATTTTGACCTTAAAATGGGTTTTCAAAAATTTAAAAGTGTATTTGTTCTTGCCGAAATAAAACAAATAAGACTTTCTCCAGAAGAAAAAATATTATCAGACACACTGTGAAAATTTCCTTGCACTGTTAAACATCATTTGGGAAATATAAAATAATAATAATAATAATTCAAAGGGGGCTAATAAATCTGACTTCAACTGCATATTACATAAACTAAAAGACAATTTAATGTCAATTGAACTACCTTGATGTGTCGAGTCCTGTGAAGGAGCTCCAGATGGAAACTTTTGTTTTGTGTTTACCTTACGATTAATTTTGTTGCACGTCCCCCTGAATTCCCTGAATGAGCGAGTTTTAGCTACTTGTAGCATTCAGAATAAAACAAAGCACCCGTGAAGAAACTCGAAACAGACAATCATACAAACCTCCTGCCAGCTAGTGTTTTAGAAGTGCGTGCAGAAATGCACGACTACATACAAGGCAGGCGCCATGGGTCATGCCGATCGCTACGCACAAAAGTATAAACCAGCCTTTAGTTAAGTTATGAACTGCAAAAAAATACTCTAGTATACTTTAGTTTTTACTACAGCTAACTGTGGTGTATTGTAGTATGATATACCCTATAGTAGCAGCAGACCAGGGGTGTCCAAACTCGGTCCTGGAGGGCCAATATCCTGCATAATTTATCTCCAACTTCCTTTAACACACCTCCCAGGAAGTTTCTAGTATACCAAGAAAAAGCTTGATTGGCTGGTTCAGGTTTGTTTAATTCAGGTTGGAATTAAAATATGCCTATTTTATGGAAGTAAAATAGGACACCGGCTCTCCAGGACCGAGTTTGGACACCTCTGTTGTAGACAGTAATTGTTTAATATAACTATAGTAGTTGTGTTATCATAGCAATTGTAGAATTACCACAGCAGATTAATTCATGCATGTTGCTAATGCTGGTTTGTCATAACCCAACACTGGGTCAAACATGAACAAACCCAAATTTTAATAAAGCTTTTGAACACAACAGTTTGTCCATAATTGACCCAACATTGGGTTACACCCTGCATCTATTTGAGTGTAATATACAGTAGTTACTAGAAAACGTACCATTATTAAAAGGATAGGTAAGACTAACTTAGGGTGCTTTCACACCTGCCTTATTTAGTTCGATTGAATCGCACTAGAGTTCGTTTCCCCTTTTGGTGCGGTTCGTTTGGGCAGGTGAGAATGCAGCAAAGTACTCGAGTGCGCACCAAAAGCAGACCAAATAAGCGTACCGAGATCTGCTTGAAGAGGTGGTCTCGGTACGCTTTCAAACGAACCCTGCAGCGGTTCGTTTGTGGTGAGAATATGATCCGTACTAAAACAGACCCAACCGCAAAAAGTACTGCGCCTTTTGGACTAATCCAGCTGCCGTAGGCCGATGCGGTGTGCATTATGGGATATGGAGGAAAAATATTTGTTGACAGCGCTTTACCAACAGAGAGAGAGAGAGAGAGAGAGAGAGAGAGAGAGGGGAAAACATTACCTGATGGATCGTTGGTAATATTTCCGCAAGATGAGCATGTCGCAGTTTAGCTAAATTAATTCACGCCTCCTTCTGAAGTAACGAGCGATACATTAAACAATGTTTTCCAGCCGCGGCCGCGCTTCATTTTCGTAATGTATAGTTTGTCTAAAGAGGGGATACAATCAGCCAGCACAGTCGTGCCTCCATAGTAAAAGGTTTTGTTTACTTGCGGGAGTTCACTGCCATTTTCCTGCATGTGAATTCTGACCAATCAGTGAGCAGTTTAGGAAATATGTTCAACAACATCTGGCCAATGAGAGATGTGGATTTTGTCAGATGACTGCATTTTGGTTCGGTTCAACTGGTTCGGACCAAAGCCAGCAGCCGACCCAAAGACGACAGAAGATGCAACAATAGCCGTGTTTCCACTATCGCGCCTAAAGCGAGCAAGCCAGGGCGAGCCAAGGCCAGTGGCGTTTCCACTGTCACTTCTGGGGCCTAAAGCGGGGCTTTCTTGGGGCCAGCGGCCAGCCTTTTTTGACCCGCCGAATACCTTGGGCCAAAGAGGGCCAGCCGGGGCTTCGGGGTGGAGTGAAAGGAGAGGCGGGCACAGTTTTCCGATCGCACACGAGTACTTGCGCCAAACAAATAAATAAATTAGGGAAAGAAAACATCTGGAACAAATTATAGGCTGGGGTCTTTTTTGCATATGATCGCCCTTATGTTTCTCTTCTAAATGTAAGGCTGTTGCATAAAATGATCTTTCTTTGCTGCATCTTTGATGTTTCAATAACGCCTAATAATCTTTACACCATATTAAAGATACAGCAGACAGTAAAGGTTTTCAAGAGGTTTTGTCAAGTTTAATAAGTGTGTTTTTGCGCGTTTAGATGCCTGTGTATGTGCGTGAGACCGAGGAAAAGAGTGCTCCATTCACAGCTCTGTTGATGCCGCGAGCGGCTTTTTTCTTTTCTTTTTATTGTTTTAATTTATTTTGGAGATAATACACTATATGAATACAACAGTAAGACATTAAACTTTACAAATTTCATGTCCACTTTTGTAGGCTCAAAACAATAGTGTCATATCTAGATAAAATAGCCCTATATTGAAATAATTTAAAGAATTACAAATATCAGATAGGCCTATAATAGAATTACATTAAATAAATAAACCAATATAAAACAAAAGCTATAGCTATAACAATTAGGTACTATATCAAACTGTTTCAAATTTATATTAAACTTTCATTTTTCAAAAGCCTCTTTGAAAAAAAGATTTTAGATATTTTATAAAAAATTAGATAAATAAATAAACACCGGAGAATGTTTTAAATATTATTTATAAAGTATTTGGATACGATGAAATTAATCAAATCATGCAAACAGAGCATTTTCGGGGTGAGTGAACGCAGAAACTAGGCGACCTTTTTTTCTGTCTTCCAGCTGCGCAGCACTTTTTTGATGGGGAAAACTGCAAGTTCAAAATGTGTTCTGTGTCATCAAACAAGTGTGTGTGTTTTTATATAACGTGGTAAAATTAAAAAGGACATTTTAAATACATAAAGAGCTTTATTAGTGCATAGCTGCTGAGCGCAACGAAATATAGGCTATATTTTATTACGTGCTGCTCTTATGTGCTGAAACACTCAACACTCAATCATTTATTGCGCTTGGTCCTGACCAAATGAAGCGAACTACAGATGTGAAAGCACCCTTAATAAATGGGTCATCGTTTACTCACCCTGGCCTTGTATTAAACCTTTATGAGTTTCTTTATTCTGTTGAACACGAAAGAAGATCATTTGAAGAATGCTGAATACCTGACTTCCATTGCTTTTCCTTCTATGGAAGTCAATGGTTACAGGTTTCCAGTTTTCTTCAAATGATCTTCTTTAGTGTTCAACAGAAGAAAGAAACTCATATGTGTTTGGAAACACTTGGGGGTGAGTAAACAGTGACGTTTTTTGGTGAACTATGCCTTCAACTCAAGATTACAGTATAGAAAATAGGTCAGATAGATGCATTGGGATGTTTCATGTTGACTTTAAATGCAACTTTTAATCACACTATTATTTTTGCATGTTGTTTTTCCCCATCTGTCACCCTGATTATCTGTTTTCATGTCTCCTCCTCGTCTGCTCATCCACCGATTCTCTCATCCATCTGTACACGTGGCTGATGTAGATTGTGAGGAAAGTGGTCCGGAGAGGAAAAGGGGAGGAAGGGGGTCAGGAGCTGATCATTGAAGGTCTGCAGCAGGATATCAGTGAGCCTGACTTTGATGGAGAACAGTTCATGAGCTATGCCGTCCTGGGACGTGACAGCAAGGTGGGCTTTTGAGTTAGATGAGGTGGTTTAAAAAGGGAAATGCAAAGATGCTTGTATAGTGAAAGTTTAGTAGATCAGGGAAACTGCAAAACACAAAGCGTTATTGGTGACATTACGATAAGGTTTCATTTGTGAAAAGGACATGGACTAAGAATAAACTAAAGCATTTATTAAATTCCCAAGTGTGATTTGTTTTTTGTTTTTGCATGCAGCTATGCAGAACAATTAGTGTTGTATTGCGACCAAGAGAGCTTAACTTGCTGCAATTACAAAAAACAATATAAATAGACTTGAAAACACTGCAGTATTTACTATAGTATCCATATATAATGAAATCCAAATGCATAAATGGTGCAGAATATAAAATATAATGCTAATGTTAGCTTAGAATTAATGTTATCGACTGAGCCCTTTTTTGTAAAGTGTTACACAATTTTATTTTTATTTTTTTGTCTTGCATTATAGATCTTGTAGAAGATCCAGTCTATACATGTGATCTACATGAGACTGAAGATTATAATATATCTGCAAGAGTGTGCGGCAAGAATTCACCAGGTTATTGGGGGAAAATGGCATTTGTTTGGAAAGACTTAAGAGTGAAAATATTGGGCAAGTGTCAGAATATATGCTCTGGATAACGTTTATGTGTCTTTAGAGACCAAGTAGACAGTTGTAATCGTCCACAATATTATATATAATTAGAAAAAAAAATCGTCATTGTATAATTGGAGTTATAGTGCTTAATTTCATTACAGTTTCCCTTAGGCACTTTTTTCATGTCCTGATTTTCTTTCTGTTCCAAAAAGAGGAATCAGCCGGAACCAGGATTAATGATGATCTGTGATGTTTAAGGGGAAAAAATGCCATATAACTTTATTTTGGTGGCTTAAAGTAGTGCATAACTGTTCATATGTATGGAACACTGACCTACACTAAATGTATTATTAATAAAAAAATTTATTACTTGTTTATTTGCTTCCTAGAACAGAACTAGACATCTCTCCCTTAGCGAAACAACTTTTCAACAATCATTGATTAGTTGACCTAAAAAGTGAGCTATTATTTCACTTTATTTTAAAAAGGTGATTAACTTGTTGCTTTTAAAGCAATTAGTTGAATTTACTTTAAAAAAGTGAGTAAACCCGTTGCGTTGACTTTAAAATGACTAGTTAACATTGGAGCGATTAGATGACTTTTACATTAAAAAGGTGAGTAAACCCATTACTTTTGAGCTCTTTAGATGACTTTACTTTTAAAAAATGAGTAAACTCAATGCTTTAAAAGTGATTATTTGACATTACTTTAAAAAAGTGAGTAAACCCATTGCTTTTGAAGTGATTAGTTAACTATAGAAGCGATTACTTGACTTTAGACGCAATTAGTGCGTAAGCCTGTTGCTTTAAAAGCGATTAGTTGATGTTACTTAAAAAAGCGAGTAAACATGTTGCTTTGAAAACATTTAGTTGACTTTACTTTGAAAGGTGAATAAACCCATTGCTTTTAAAGTGATTAGTTGAGTTTAAAGTTCTAAAGTTGACTTTAGAATGATTAGTTGGCTTTGCTTTTGTGAGTAAGCCCATCGCTTTTAAATCAGTTAGTTGACTTTAGAGGGAATAGTTGACTTTAAAATCGATTAGTTGACTTTACAATGAATAGTTGACTTTGAAGCAATTAGTTGGCTTTGCTTCTGTAAGTAACTCATTGCTTTTAAATCGATTGGTTGACTTTAAATCGATTAGTTGGCTTTGACGCGATTAGTTGACTTTGAAACGATTAGCTTGCCTTTGAAGCGATTAGCTGACTTTACTTATAAAAGCAAGTAAATCTATAGCTTTTAAAGTGATTAGTTGACTATATGAGTGATTACTTGACTTTAGAAGCAATTAGTTGATTTTACTTTCAAAAGTGCGTAAGCTTGTTGCTTTAAAAGCGATTAGTTGATGTTACTTAAAAAAGCGAGTAAACATGTTGCTTTTAAAACGTTTAATTGACTTTACTTTGAAAGGTGAGTAAACCCATTGCTTTTAAACCGATTAGTTGACTTTAAAGCGGATAGTTGATTTTAAAACGATTAGTTGGCTTTAAAAAGGAGTGGTTAACTTTAAAGCGATGGGTTGACTTTAAAGCAATTAGTTGTCTTTGCTTCTGTGAGTAAACCCATTGCTTTTAAATCGATTAGTTGGCTTTTAAATCGATTTGTTGACTTTAGGGCGATTAGTTGACTTTGAAGCGATTAGTTGGCTGTGGAGCAATTAGTTTGCTTTGAAACGATTAGTTGACTTTACTGCGATTAGTTGACTTTACTGCGATTAGTTGACTTTGGTGCGATTAGTTGGCTTTAAACAGATAAGTTGACTTTGTTTCTGAGTAAACCCATTGATTTTAAAGAGATTGGAGGGTTTTTAAAAATGTGAGTAAACTGTATTTCATTGTATTTAAAATAAAACGATTAGTTGACTTTGGGGCAATTAGTTGAATGCTTCTGTAAGGTGCGTAGACCTATTGCTATTAAGGTGGTTGACTTTAATTTAAAAAGGTGAGTAAACCCATTGCTTTTAAATTGATTAGTTGACTTTAAAGTTTTTAGTTGACTCTAAATCGATTCGTTGACTTTGATAGGATTATTTGGCTTTGTTTCTATAAGAAGAGTAGACCCATTGCATTTAAGGCGGCCAGTTGACTTTAAAAAAGATGAGTAAACCCCTTTGCTTTTAAACTAATTAGTTGACTTTAAAGTGACTGGTTCTCTTTCGGGCGATTGGTTGACTTCGATAAAATGAGTAGACCCATTGCTTTTAAGGTGGTTGGTTGACTTTACTTTAAAAGGTGAGTAAACCCGTTGCTTTTAAAATGATTAGTTAACTTTGATATGATTAGTTGACTTTGGAGTGTTTAGTTAACTGCTTCTACAGTATAAGAAGAGTAGACCCATCGCTTTTAAGGCAGTTAGTTGACTTTAAAAAAGGTGAGTAAACCCATTGCTATAAAGAGATTAGTTGACTTTGAAGCCATTAGTTGCCTTTGATTCTGCAAGGTGAGTAAACCCATTGCTTTTAAGGTGGTTAGTTGACTTTACTTTAAGAAGGTGAGTAAACCCATTGCTTTTCCAGTGGCTAGTTGACTTTAATATTAAAAGTGTGAAAACCTGATGCTTTTAAATTGATTAGTTGACTTTAAATTGATTAGTTACCTTTGCTTCTATGAGTAAACCCATTGTTTTTAAAGTAATTAGTTGATTTTAAAGCGATTAGTTGACTTTACTTTAAGAAGTTGAGTAAACCCATTGCTTTTAAAGTGATTGGTTTACTTTGAAAAAATTAGTTGTTATTGCTTCTATAGGGTGAGTAAACCCATTGCTTTTAAAAACAATTAGCTTTCATTTTAAAGTCGTGTTAACCTGATGCTTTTGCATTGATTAGTTGACTTTAAATTGATTAGTTGACATTAAAGTGATTAGTTAATTTTGCTTCTATAAAATGAGTAAACCCATTGGTTTTAAAACAATTAATTGACTATTTTAAAAAGTGTGTAAACCTTTACTTTAAAGCGATTAGTTGACTTTACTTTTATGGAATGCGTAAAACTGTTGCTTTTAAAACAATTAGTTGACTTTAAAACGACATTCCAACAATATAAAAACAACAATTGCAAGTTACAAAGGGTTAACTTGCTTTTTTAAGTAAAATAACTACTCGCTTTTACAGTGTTGATATACAGTACATTCATTTTCTGTTCTGAACCACAATATGCTGCCTGTAACTTTTACAAAAAATTCTGACAATATAAACGTATGTACAGAGGAAGTGACATGCAGAGTTGTGTTCGTATGTGATTCCTCTTTATGGGCGTCCCAGTTAACCCTCATTGATAACTTCATGTGATGTGCATTATATATGGTGTATGTCCAGTTTCCCTGTATTCGCTTGACTTTGATTAAACATTTCTCTTTGCCTAGACTGTGAATGTGCCCGTCCTTTTCTGATGCTGTCTGCTTTTCTCTCTTTATCAAATCCCATTTGTTTTCTCCTAAACCGCATCTCTCCTCCATGTTTTGTGTGGCTTTTTTTTTTGCACGCTCTGCTCATTTCTAACTTGGATTCTGTTAACCCTTCACCTGATTGTTTCACTCTGCCCTGTTCATCTGTCCCGTTGCTCTTTGTTTCCATCATTCCCTCATTTCTCTGTCGTTCTGGACGGCTCTCTCTCCTCCAGCCGGATGTTGTGGATGTGAAGAGAGGAGGTGCTCAGATAGTCAAATGTGCGAGTCTGCGGAGAGTAAAGCAGTGAGTCTGAGAGACTCCTCCTGCCTGCAGGTACAGGACACTGCTGCACGTAATCCTTCTAACCAATGGGATTTAATAATTTAGACTTAAAGGGACAGTTCACCCCAAAAATTAATTCTGTCATCATTTACTCACCCTTTAACGTACAAATGAAATCAAAACTAACCATATTGATTTTGCTAGCTCACATTGCAGGTTTTGTAGTGAACAATTCATCTGTGCATGTCATTATGAAAAAATAAATAGTTTGCCCTTGTAATCTAAAATTGAAATCTGAAAATGCACTTCCTGTTTGTTTTCAGTTCATTTCTCAGATTAGGTCTGTCTGAGGTATTGGGCGTGGCTAACATGCTTATCCACGCCCATTCAGCTGTCAGTTTAGACAACAAACAGAAATGGTGAGGAGGAGGAGGAGTCTGTTAGGTTGTAATAACCCTCCCCAAACCTTTTCCCCATCTTTCTGAAAGAAATGCCTACTTTATTACATCCAATCAGCTTGCAGGAGAAAAAACAAGCCACGCCCACTGCTTTTTCACTTAATATTCTGTTTCTCTAGCAACTGAACTGTATCAAACCTGTTTGACTTTATTTATTCTGTTAAACACAAATGAAGATGTTTTAAAGAAAGTTGGAAATCTGTAATCATTGACCCCTATTTTTTTATTTCCCAATGATAACTTTTTCATTTAGTGGCTAATTTGTATGAGGTTGTACTATCTCATGTGTGTATTTTAGTACAATTTGCGCATTAAATATGTATACATATATAAAATATTCCAGGACCCCCTCTTCCAATACCCCCCCCCCCCCCCCCATCCCCAACCCTTAAACCAACAATCACAGTTATTAACGTCTACGCTTTCCTCAACCCTAAACCCAACTATCATAGTTATTAACGTGTACACCTACCCAAACCCTAAACCCAACCATCATAGTTATTAATGTCTACACCTTCCTCAACTCTAAACCCAACTATCACAGTTATTAATATCCATACCTACCACAACCCTAAACCAAACCTTCATAGTTATTAATCTCTACACCTACCCAACTCTAAACCCAACCATCACTGTTATGAATGTCTACACCTACCACAACCCTAAACCCAACCATCACAGTTATTAACGTCTACACCTTCCTCAACCCTAAACCCAACCATCACAGTTATTAACGTCTACACCTTCCTCAACCCTAAACCCAACCATCACAGTTATTAACGTCTACACCTACCACAACCCTAAACCCAACCATCACTGTGATGAACGTCGACACCAACCACAACCCTAAACCCAACCATCCCAGTTATGAACATCTACACCTTCCTCAACCCTAAACCCAACCAATCACAGTTTTTAAGGTACAGTTGCAGAGGCTTTCATACCTGAATCGCTTGCCATTGTACTTTTACATTGTACTGTGCTAAGCAGGGCTGCGCCCAGTAAGTATCTGGATGGGAGAACACATGGAAAAGCAAGGTTGCTGCTGGAATTTGGTGAAAATGTTCACTGTTAAGTATTTCCGCCATCTTGCCAACAACATCTGGTTGTGACATTTCGCATGGTTCAATGGGATCTCGATATCTGCCTCTCTAACTTACTACAAGTTACGCCCTTCATGTTACACCCCCGTCTTGCAGTCCGCAGACAGATACATTTAAAGCAAATGTAAAGCAGATTATAAGCATCTCGAAGGGGGCGGGGCATGTCAGATACTTGAGAACATTTGATTGGTTACGATTTGATGAGGTGACGTGTCAAAATTGTTGATCGATTTAGTCGGAAGGGACAAACTGCAAGCTTTGTGTGTTTTTGTCAGTTTTATCCTATCTAAACGCTGGATTTGACACTGTTTTGGAGCAAAATATCCCTAAAACTAAGAATCTGAAACCAATTTTTATTGTAATTTCTTTTCGAAATGCTAATTTTCTTTTGTTTGTTTGTTTTTTCATAGGACTCGACTCCTTCACCCAAACCATCCTTCACTGACTCATGACGGGCGTCAATTAAAGAAGAACCCAAAATCGCGGGAGATAGGCAACGGAGATCAACCACGAAAAGAGATTTTAGGATTTTTTTAAAAACAAACAAAAAAAAAAAGCAAACAATAAAGGCTAGAGGCATGATTTCTTACAAAACCAAACCAAACCATGAAAAAAGAGCAAGCATTTGAGAAGTGCTTCCTGTAATCTCAGTAATATCAGCATGTGAACGTGCTGTCGCATGGCCTGCCTTTACATACAGCACCGACCGCAAGCAATTATGAGGTGAGGAAAAATACTGTGGTACCGCAAGGGCTGTACATGGTTATTTGGAAAGACTTTTGGCCAGCAGGAGGCGCACGCTTGAAATCGCCGTTTAGGAGCACGTGGGACACGAAAGCTAGTTTTAATAATAATAATAATAATAATAAGTCAATAATCCAGCAAGAGATTTTTTTTTTCTGAATTTAGTCTTCCAAGCGAGTCCAGAACACCCAAATATTGACGCTATATCCCGCCAGGAGGAGTTTCTGACGCTCTTAAACTGGTGTTATACATGATATGCACTCAAATATGATGTGAATGTACTACTCTGTGTGTGTGTGTGTGTGTACGCCTGTTCTTTTTCACAGCCAAAACAACAACAAAATATGGATCAACCTATGCGATGAATATGCTGCTGTCTCCTGAAGTCTTGTTCAGTCCAATAGTACGTGTCTTGTGTATTGTAAAGGTATAATACTCGTGTAGCTGTGTGTTGCCTGAGATATACGGGCTCAAGGGATATAATTTGTGCAGTTTTTAATGTGTGTTTTTTGGTGGGATGCGCTACATTGGACGTACTTTTAACACTGTGGGGCTCTGTATGAACACGTTTGCAGATGATGCCATTTATATCGCAGACCTCTGTGTCATATGAACCCTCTTAATAACGTGATATTATGCACAGAGGAGAATTATATCAACATCACGTCATTAGCATTTGCTTTATTCCACTAATGGGAAGATATTTGTGCATTATTATTATTATTATTATTATTATTATTATTATTAGGCTACGAGTGAAAAAAGCAATAACTTTTTCTTTTGAACACTACTGAAAAAGTCTAACCTTTCAAAAATTGCTATATATTTACTTAATCTTGTCATTTATTTTGTTAGATACACATTTAAAAGCAATTAATTTTGCAAAGTACACATCCATCGGTTAACTACAATCGAACTAACAATGAAGACTAACTCTAAAATATTTAATAATCTTGGTTCATGGTAATCCTGCCATTGCTAACGCATTATTAAAATGAACACATTGTCTTTTGTAATATTATTTAACAGACATGAGATGACTAAAACAGTTAACAAAGATTAATAAATACTCCAAAATACTGATATATTATCTAATTTTAACTAATAGACTTTTATTCTAAAGGGTTGCCAGATGTTTTAGCAAGAGTCCTTCCTATTATGGACTTGTGGCAGTCCAAAAATGATCATGCAAATATTTTATTAAAGCCAGTATGTCCTGTGTTCATACATAACTTAGCCCAAAATATCTCTATATTTAAGATATGCATACATATCAGCAGCAGCAATGTAGCACACACATACTGTACACACGTAGCCGCTGAAGACAAAATTATTAGACTACTACATTATTTCCTGTGAAATTTAAGTTGTTCTTTTTAAATATTTCCCAAATTGTTTTTATTTTCTACAAATGTGTGATCAATATGTGTTTAATAGCTAATTTCTAATTGCTAAATTATTTTGTCTTTGTCATGATGACAGTAGAAAACATTACTAGTTATTTTGCAAGATACTACGTTCAGCTTAAAGTGACATTTAAAGGCCTAACTAGGTTAATTAGGTTAATTAATATGGAAACTTGAAATATGATTCCATTTAAACTAAAATAACAAACAAAAGACTTCTCTAGAATAAAAATATAATAGGAAATATTGTAAAAAATGTCCTTGCTCTGTTAAAAAAATGCTTAATAAATATTTGAAAAAGCATTAAAATTTCACAGGAGGATCTAATAATTTAGTCTTAAACTGTATAGTTGGTTTTTACTCTACAGGTTTACAGTGAAAATTAGCATTTACCTGATGAAAACAGACATATCAAATAGGCTTTCGATTACTTTATAGTGATCAAAAGTCATTTATACTTTAATACCGGGTGTAATAAATGAAATGAAATAAATTCACATGCGAATAAAGTGCATTACAGCCATCTACAATTTCTGCAGTGCTGGTTCCAGAAGTGTTTTTTATATTCATTTTCCGCATATGATTTAAAAACATGGTAACACTTTATAATGATGGTCCATTAGTTCATGTATTTACCAACATTAAGTATGATAATCTTGTAGAGTATTTATTAAATATAGTTTAACATTTACCAATGCATTATTAATATCCAAAGTTGTGCTTGTTAACATTAGTTAATGCACCGTACGTTATTTAACTTAACTGACTTTAACAAATTGCAATTATGTTCATTAGTAAATACATTCACTAACGTTAACTAATGGGGCATTTATTTATAGTGTTACCAACAACATTTTTGTTCAATCATTATATGAAGCAAAGATACAACCAGATACAAGAATTACAACACTTGATTTAAAGCAAAAAAAAAATATGTATGAAAATCAGAGAAAATATATATTTTTTAAGTTGATTTGATTGGTTGGGTTTTGATTTGTGGCCAAATAGGCAGTGTGTGGAAGGCCTGAAAATCTATTTTTGGCAAGATTAAATCAAGGCTGCTCTATTATTGGTGGAATTTTTCTGCTCGGCATTATGGGAAATGTAGTTTTAATGCATGAAATCCGATTTAATACAGAGAGTTGACGACTGGAGTTGAATTACCGTGAGCACAAAAACAACATTTTGAGCAGAAAAATTGCATGAAAATCAGAGAAGATATATATATTTTAAGTTGTTTAGATTGATTGGTTGTGATTTTGTAGCCAAATATACAGTTATTTTAATTTATAAATGTATTTTGAGAGTGTACAGGAGACTCTACTACATAATTTATAGTGCTTTATGGGTGTTGCAGGCCTGAAAATGTATTTTTGCCCAGAATTAAAGCACTGCTGCTCTCTGATTGGTGGAATTTTCTACTCGGCATCATGGGTAATGTAGTTTTATTTTATAATTCTGATTTGTTAACTGAATTGAATACTGGAGTTGAATTACCGTGAACAAAAAACACAATTTAAAGCAAAAAAAGTATGAAAATCAGAGAAATTATATATTTTTAAGTTGATTTGATTGATTGTTTGTTGTTTTGTGGTCAAATATGCAGTTATATTAAAATAGAAATGTATTTTAAGTGTGTATGGACCCTCTATTACATAATTCACGGTGCTTCGTGAGTATAGCACCCTTGAAAATGTATTTTTGGCCAGATTCAATCACTGTTGCACTCTGATTGGTGGATTTTTTTCTGCTCGGCATCATGGGTAATGTAGTTTTACTGCATGAAATCCAATTTAATACTGATTTGTCTACTGAATTGACAACTGGAGTTGAATTACCGTGAGTACAAAAACATCAAATTTGAAGCTTAAAAGGTGCATAAAAAACAGAAAATACATATTTTTAAATTGTTTTGATTCATTGATTGTTGTGTAGTATCCAGTTATATGAAATTATAAATGTATTTTGAGAGTGTATGGGAGATTACATCTTCGTGGTGCTTCATGGGTGATGAAGGCCTGAAAAATCTAGATTCAGTCACTGCTGCTGTCTGATTGGTGAACTTTTTCTGCTGGGCATTATGGGTAATGTAGTTTTACTGAATTGACTTCTGGAGTTGAATAACTGGGAGCACAAATCATACATTAATTTATCAGTCATAGCAAGTCTGTCTTAAAAGGTTTATGAGTTAAAAAATATCAATATCCATATCCATATAAAGAGAGAATTTCACTTCTGGAACCAGACTGCTGCACTCAAACGCTTTATTTTTTACTTCAGGAAAATCATGAGCTTCAAATATAGGTTAAATCCAAAAATATATGTTGTTTGAAACATTCAATCTTCGAAAAAAAATAAGATCGAGGTCATTAAGGGCCAATTATTGAGGAAAACATTTGATGATGTTAATATTTGTTTGAAAATATTCACTGAAAGGTTAGATTTTCCCTCATCTTTTCAGAACAGCATTTGATTAACATAATATACTTGCATTATAATTATTTATCATTATATAATCGCTGTTTTTTCACCAGAGTATGCCAACATTCATAACCTGCACTATATTGAGTTTGGGAAAAATCTGTAATATTTTAGTTTCTTTTTTTTATGCCTAATACTTTTCTGGGCACTCAAACAATGTCTGAAGCTGATGAAGACACAAAACCTCTGAACACTGTGATCAGACTGATCTACACACAAACACACAGACACAAACACACACACACACACACACACACACTCAATGTATATTCTGTGCACACTCGAAAAATTGCTGGGCTGTAAAAAAATACAAATATTTCAATTTAATGGAAAAAATGCTAAACATCCTGTCTTTTTAAAGTGTATCTTCTAGATTTGCACTTAAGTTTTTACCAAGCAACCACCGTAATCCGTAATTATGCAAAGATTGATCACTGCATCATCTCTACTGATGACCTGATCATCAAATATAATATAAAACTTTTATGGCTGCTGGTGGTTGTTCGTAATCTTTAAAAAATTAAATGTTGTTTTTTTTTTCATGCGGTTTTAGCATGCGACTGCATCTGATTTCAGATCAGTTATTTATTCCTCACTTTACAATCAGATTTCATTCATGTTAGTTAACGTGTTTACACTCTAAAATGTGTTATTTCAACACAAACCAGGGTAATGTAAGTACAAATCCAAACGTTGGGTTAAATTTAGTCCTTTGACTTTAATTTTAAAAATAATCCTAATGGTTAGTTTTGTCCATATTTTACCCAAAATTGGGTTGAAATAATCCAGCATTTTCTTTCTAACATGGACAAACACTGAACAGAATATTTGTTACAGCATTTATAAATCTTTGTTAATGTTATTTAATTAAAGCATGGCAAAGGTAAGGTTTTAAATGTAACATTAAAAAAAAAAACGTAAGTTAATGTGTACTTTTTAATGAAAGTAATGTGAGTGTTATTTTTGCATTTTTTTATAATTAAGATTGTAATAGATGACCTTTAAAAGTAACTTTATCCAACATTGTTCAGTTTACCAGTAACTTACTGTGAATCAGTCACAGCAAAAATACTGTATTTACATTTACAACACCATTACCTTCCTGTGTATGTATTTACAGTATTGTATATCTTTACTGTAAAATATACAGTCATTTTCCCATTGCAAATTTAAAATACAGTAACATACGGCATTAGTTCAGTTTGCCAGTAACTTACTGTAAATCAATTACATCGAAAATATTTTATTTACATTTAAAGCTCCATTTACCTTCCTGTGTATGTATTTACAGTATTGTATATCTTTACTGTAAAGTATACAGTCATTTTTACAATGCATATTACAGTTCAGTTTGCCAGTAACTTACTGTAAATCAGTCACAGCAAAAATACTGTATTTACATTTAAAGCTCCATTTACCTTCCTGTGTATGCATTTACAATATTGCATATTTTTACTGTAAAATATACAGTCATTTTTACAATGCATATTACAGTTCAGTTTACCAGTAACTTACTGTAAATCACTTACAGCAAAAATACTGTATTTAAATTCACAACACCATTACCTTCCTGTGTATGTATTTACAGTATCGTATATCTTTACTGTAAAATATACAGTCATTTTCCCATTGCAACTTTAAAATACAGTAACATACGGCATTAGTTCACTTTGCCAGTAACTTACTGTAAATCAATTACATCGAAAATATTTTATTTACATTTAAAGCTCCATTTACCTTCCTGTGTATGTATTTACAGTATTGTATATCTTTACTGTAAAATATACAGTCATTTTTACAATGCATATTACAGTTCAGTTTGCCAGTAACTTACTGTAAATCAGTCACAGCAAAAATACTGTATTTACATTTAAAGCTCCATTTACCTTCCTGTGTATGCATTTACAATATTGCATATTTTTACTGTAAAATATACAGTCATTTTTACAATGCATATTACAGTTCAGTTTGCCAGTAACTTACTGTAAATCACTTACAGCAAAAATACTGTATTTAAATTCACAACACCATTACCTTCCTGTGTATGTATTTACAGTATTGTAAATCTTTACTGTAAAATATACATTCATTTTTACAATGCATATTACAGTTCAGTTTGCCAGTAACTTACTGTAAATCAGTCACAGCAAAAATACTGTATTTACATTTAAAACACCATTACCTTCCCGTTTATGTATTTACAGTATTGTATATCTTTACTGTAAAATATACAGTAATTTTCCCAACGCAACTTTATAATACAGTAACACGCTGTATAACTGTCAAATACAGTATAATACAGCTCACAATACAGTTAAATACTGTGTAATTTGCAAAAATAGTTGGCAGAGTAGTACTTATTGACCTAAAGTGCATTAACTAATGTTAACAAACACAACTTTACATTTGTAATAACTTTGAGATTAGTAAATGCTGTATGTGTGTTGTTCGTTATTAGGTTATATTAATAGACACATGAACTAATGGAAGCTCATTGTAAAGTGTGACCAAAACTTTAAAGAATAAAATCACAGCTGAAACAATTACAAATGTATGCAAATACACAAACACAGACATGCAAATATGATTCTGATTACATCCTGAGCATTATACCAAAAAACAGGGCATTTATTGTAGCATTGAATGTTATGCCTTAGCATTATTATTAGTCACGTCTCATAACATTAAATCGACATTTTCAAGCATTGTTGATTTATTATATTAACGTTTACGTCTCGAGTTATTAACCAAATCATACGGATAAGATATAAATGCATGTCTTCCATTTCAAAGACGTGTTTTATTTTAGATTAGACATTTGTGTTGTGCGTTTTACAGATGGACTATTAAAGGATATTTTTTGGAAGCTTGGAGATTAAATTAAACAATCGGTTGTACACAAGTGGACATTTATTTCTTTTCTTCTTTATGTGTCGTCGTTTATCTGGTTGGAGTTTTAAAAGCTGATATGAACTAGTTTTTCTGGGAGGAAAAAATCTGAATATTTATTAATTTAGTTGGGAAAACTTTACTTGAACGGGGTGTTCATAAGACTATCGTGAAAAACAACAAGTTGTCATGACAAACAGGCGGATCATTCCGCTGTGGCGACCCCAGATTAATAAAGGGACTAAGCCGAAAAGAAAATGAATGAATGAATAAATGTCATAACAAACAATGTCATCTTTACTAAGTCAAATAGTATTTAGGAGTGTCGTTAATGACATTTTAATGACTAACTCAGCTTGTAGTTATAAAAGGCATGACATAACTGTAATGACTTCATGACAGTCATGTTTATGACAGGTTTATGACAAGTTTCATTGTCTTGGTAATGTTAAATTGTCATGACAAAGACAGAAACAGGTTGTGATGTATTTGTTTATGTCAAGTTGTCATGAACAATGTCATCTTTGCATTCAAAACAGAGCAAATGACACTAAGCTGTTATAAGCATTCATAAAATCTCATTTACATTCATGATTTGTCCTGTCATGACTATAAAGGTCTAATGACAGCCTTGTTAACGCCTCCTTCAAGTCGCTCCCTGAACGAAAGTAAAGAGGGTGTTCAATATGACTGTCGATGAGATTTTAAGCATGCTTATGACTACCGTTATTAAGTGTCATTTGCTCGGTTATGACATTTTAAATGCAAAGGTTATGACATTTTAAATGCAAAGATGACATTGTTTGCTATGACAACTTGACATAAGCAAAGACATCACAACAAGATCTTTGTCACGACAGCTTGACATTACCAAGACATCAAAACTTGTCATAAATGTGTCATAAGGCATTATAATTGTGTCATGACTATTTCTCTGATCACGTTTTCACTGTATTTGTCATTATAATGCCTCATTAAAAAGTGTCATTACTAAGTCAAATAATATGTAAGAGTGTCGTTAATGACATTTTA